TGCGCTACAACCAACTTATCATCATCATCATCATCCTCTTCATCCTCATCTTCTTCATCTTCCTCCTCTTCTTCATCCTCCTCATCTTCTTCATCTTCCTCCTCTTCCTTCTTCTTCTTGCTCTTCTCGGCTTTGACAACTCCCTTTTTGGCGGCATCAGGCTTGCCTTTAGCCCTGTATGCAACAATATCCTTCTCGTATTTCTCCTTCAGCTTAGCAGCCTTCTTCTCATAGGGCTGTTTATCATCGGCAGCAGTATTATTCCACATCTCTCCCAGCTTCTTCGCAACATCACCAATGGAAAGGCCAGGGTGCTCGCCTTTGATTTTGGGGCGATACTCAGAACAAAATAAGAAAAAAGCCGAAGGAGGCCTCTTGGGCGCGTTGGGATCTTTGAACTTCTTTTTTGTTTCGCCCTTAGGAGGGATATAGGTTTTCATCTCTCTCTCATAACGGGCCTTGTCCGCCTTTGCCATGTCTTCAAATTTACCTTTCTCTTTAGCAGACATGGTCTTCCACCTCTCTGAACACTTCTTAGAAAATTCTGAGAAGCTGACAGAAGCATCTGGGTGCTTCTTCTTGTGCTCCTCTGGGCAGGTTTGCACGAAAAATGCATACGATGACATTTTGCCTCTCGGCTTCTTAGGATCTCCTTTGCCCATGGTTAGTTATTTCTCGTCCGCGAGGCACAGAGTCACCCAGTGCCGTCCAAACCTGCTTTATTCTGTGTCAACCTTATCGTCTCTGACACATCTACCTTCGCTAATCTATCTATCTATCTATCTATCTATCTATCTATCTATCTATCTATCTATCATCATCTATCTATCTGTCATTATAATGTTAAGGAAACAAATCCAGTGCTGCTGAGTTGATTCTGACTCATAGCAAACCTGTAGGACAGAGTAGAACCACCCCAGAGCGTTTCCAAGACTGTAATCTTTGTGGAAGTCAATTGCCACATCTTTTTTCCTGGATTGTGGCTGGTGAGTTTGAATCACTGGCCTTTTAAAGACCAGGAATCCAGACTTCCTTTTCTAATAATTACAGAGTGATTATGGAACGCTCACACTCCCGTGAAGGAGAGATGAAAAAAAAAAAGAATCAATCTGTATGACATCATGAGAGTGTTACCTAGGTAACCAGGACTTGAGTGGACAAGCTGCTGAGGGGAAGTGAAGCAGAGTGTTGATCCCAAATTCTTCATGGTTTTTGTTTTTTTTTTCTTCTAAGGTCATCTGATCACTGTTAGCACAAAATGGGAATGCGCAAATGTTGGTAAGAAGTGTGGTTACTGTTAGGAGACAGCAGTGAACCAAATGAAGGGAAGGGATGAAATTAGAGTTATTGGGTATTTGGAAAGGCAGAATTTGTAGTCAATATTGCGGTGAAAAGAGCTGGAAGGCCATGACCCTAACATTTGATTTATTTCTCCTTCCTCTTGAAGTATTTGCCTAATTCTTAGACTACAGTGAGTAGGGGAATAAGAAGTAGGGTAGAAAGGATTGTGAAGATGAGATGAAATGTCACAGCCTTTCAGTGCAAATAGGAAAACCTAAGATTTCAAGACCCAACAAAGCAGAGATAGCCCTGGGGTAAACCCACTATGCTTTGAGTTGGAACATCTCAAAGTACACACGAGAGTAACACAAAGGGGTTCCAGAAGTAGACAGAAACTCTAAACATCGGAAAACGGCATCCTGTCCTCTGCTCGTTAACTGCTTAAGGCAATTTTCTCTCTGTCTTGATATAGAAGTGAATACATTCATTAGGTGCATAGATCAGTGGAACATAATAGAGAATCCAGAAATAGACCAGCATCTATTAGTGGTCGGATAGAGATACCAGTGAAATAGAATTGAGGGGAAAAAAATGGCCATTTCAGTATATGATGCTGCATCCGCTAGACAGTCATACAGAAAAAGTCTTTTGCAACGAACCCTATATTTACATCTGAAAGATCAAAACAAGAAATACTCAGGCAAAACTGACAGGATACACCCAAATCACATACAAAAAAGTAAAAAAGAACAAACAGGTCACTTCTGCTGTCTTTATCATGCCTCTGTTTCAGCATGACAATATGCGCTGGGCTGAGTCAGAATTCTAGGTGTGCTGTTGCTGGAAGGGACCTTAGACCTCACAGGATCAGAGACCTCAGAGGATCAGAGATCCTCCAATGAGCATTCATATCACAGATGAAAATGCTGCTACTTCAGACCACACAGCTAATGAATAAAAGAACCTAGGAGATGCAAAGACAGAGAGGTGAAGGTTTTATTCATTACATCCCCACAATAAAAAGTGGCTGCCTACTTAAAACCTTCCAGAAACACTATCAAGTTCCATGGGGGCAACAGAGCTGAATCAAGTATAATCTTAATGAGGACCCTGCCACCTAGTGGGAGAACATATGCACATACAGACAAACCACGAAGCAGTGTGGTTTTTAAAGGTGCTTTCCTGAATTTATAAACAAGGTCCGCAGCTCAGAACGCAGGGGAAATAATTGTGGGCTTTCCAGCAGCTAAGCACCTGATGCATAATAGTTGGCACTGAGAATAAAATAACGGTGTATGAGATAAAGTTTCTGTCCTAAAAAAAAGTAGAGCTTGTTATCTCAATGAATACGTGCAAGACAACTGCATCTATCCATTAAAGAGATTGAGAGGCTGGAGGTCATTAATTTAAGACCTTCCATTCATCAAGAAGCAGCTCTGGTGGCTTGTTGTTGTTGTGTGGTGTCGAGTCAATTACGACTCATAGCAAGCCTTTGCATAAAGCTCTGAACTCTCCTCTACCCTGGGCCAATATCACTATCTCTGACACATCTACCTTCGCTATCCAAGTTATTCCCCCAAATCCATCTCTTCAGGATATTTCTCTCCTTCGGTGTCCCTCAACCCTTCCAAGCATGATACCCTTCTTCAAAGATCAATCCACCCTGGCTACATGCCTAAAGTACGTGAGACAGAGTCTCAAAATCCTTGCCTCCAAGGAGCAGCTTGGTTTCTCCCTCTCTAGGGTAGACCTGATAGTTTTCTTGGAAGTCTAATAAGGAATTGCCCTGCCAACACAAAAGTATGAATCCACAAGCTGCTCTGTAGGAGAAATATGGGCAGTCTCCACCAGTGCAATTGACTGTTTCGGAAAACCCTCTGGAGGGTCAGCTATGGGTTGGTTTTGCCTGGACGGCACACAACCACCACCACCACCACAACAACAACAACCACCACCACCACCCAATAACAACAACATTCATCAGGACTCACCACAGGAGGGCACTTGGGAATTGATTAATAATGGAACTGCTCTACATCTTATTATGGTGGTGCTTATGAACCGCATGATTCAAAACTGACAGAACAGTACAAAGAGTGAATTTTTCTGTATGTGAGCATTTTTTTTCTGTATGTGAACTACGAACACTATTTAATATATGTATTTTTCTATATGCAAATCAGAAATTTACTAGATATATAAATGCACCTAGGAAAAAGAGTGACATTTTCTGTATGCAAATTATACCTTAGTAATGAAAAATTTTAATGAAATACAGTTCTAGTTTGGTTGACTCCATAATTAACACTCCTGGTACCAGCAGCCAGGAAATCAAGAGACGAATTGCATTGGAAAAGTCAGCTGTCAGGGACCTCTTCAGAGTACTGAAAAGCAACAAAATCAGTCTGGAGACTAAGGTGCGCCTGATCCAGGCCATAGTCTTCACAGTTGCTTGCTATGTGTCGGAGAGCTGAACTAGAAATGATAGAGAATTGATGCCTTTGAGCTGCGGTGCTGGAGAAGAGCGTTGAATATACCATGGACTGCTAAGAGAACAAAGAGGTTTGCCCTGGAGAAGGTGAATCCAGGCTGCTCCTTGGAGGTAAAGATTCGGAAGCTTCATCTGACATACTTTGGATATGTTACGAGGAGGGACAGGTCCTTGGAGAGGGATGTCTCATGTTTGGGAGGGTGGAGGGACAGCGCAGGAGAGGAAGACCCTGGAGGAGATGGATTGATTTAGACACTGGAGCAATAGGGCTAGGTGTGTCAGGGACAATAAGGTTGGCACAGGATAGAGCAGGGTTTAGGGCTCTTGTACATAGGGTCACTAAGAGTCACAAGCGACTCAACAGCACATAACAACAATGAATTATTTGCCTTAACAAGGGGGAATTGGATATTATAATGCCCAATCAACAACTCCTTTCAGAGCTGAAGGTCTTATTTGACAGCCCTCAGCTGTGAGTTCTCTTCAGAAAACATTGTTGTTGTGAGGTGTTGTGGAGTAGATTCTTGAACTATAAGGGTCACTTTTACCTGGATTTCCTCCCCCCTTTGTTGTTATTATGCTTACTTCTACTTAAAACGTTGTGTAATTTGAATCATCTCCATGTGAACTGTCCATCTTTCTGGAATATCCACAATTCAAACCCAGATTTTTCAAAGGACAACTGTACATCTAAAGGGAGTTTTGAATGTGTCTCTAATGCCCACAGTGCTCAAGAAACATGCCCTATTTCCATGTTGGAAGGCCCAAAGATGCAAAGATGTTAATAATTCCTAAACTAGAAGACAATTTCTATTAAAATACCAGTAAAGTTTTTTTTATACACATACCAAACTGCTCCTTGGAGGCAAGGATTTTGAAGATCTGCCTCACATACCTTGGGCATGTTGCCAGGAGGGACCAGTCTTTGGAGAAGGACATCATGTTGGAAGGGTGAAGGGACAGGGCGGGAGAGGAAGATCTAGGATGAGACAGATTGACTCAGTGACTGGGGTAATGGGCGTAGGTGTGTCAGAACAAGGAGATTGGCTCAGGACAGGGCAGGGTTCAGAGCTATTGGTCGCTATGAGTCGTAGGTAACCTGTAACAACAACAAGACGCAGCTTATTTTAAAATTGACATGAAAAGTCAGAGCCCGACCAAGTTCTGTCTGGTTTTCGGGTCCATATGTTCAAGTCTTACGGTTGCTCGTCAGACCCTAATGGCCAAGATGGTGAAGCAGATCGAAAGCAAGGAAGATTTTACGGCTTGCCTGAATGGTGCTGGAGACAAACTTGTAGTGGTCGACTTCTCAGCCACATGGTGTGAGCTAACATGGAAAAGCTTGAAGCCACCATTAGTGAACTGATTTAATCATATTTACTGAAAACTACCAGCTGTCAGCTGTTTAAAACTTTTTTTTTTCTACAAAAAAAGGATCAAGTATGAAGATTATATGCCTGATTGCCATCTGATTATAAATGACAATAAAATATTAATTCTACCCTTTTTTTAAAAAAAAGAAAAGTCAGAGCCCTTAAAAGATCTAAAATAGTTTTGAAAAGGAAGAAGAAAGTGGGAGAAAATATTCTACCTAGTATCAAGTCTTGTATCACAACAGTTATGAGGACAGTGTGCTGGTGACTGCGATGTAGACGTATAGATCAATGGGAAGAACAGGGAACTCAGAAACACACACACAAAAACACCAGCTGATTTTAATTTATTGTTACAAAGGTGTGAATGTAATTCAGGGAGGGAAGAATAGTTTTTTCAACAAATTGTACTGTTTTTTCAACAAATTGTACTGTGACAATTGGTTATACATCTCTTATTGCCATTCAGTCAATTCCAACTCACAAAGACAGGAGTAAATTGCTCACCTTTCTCCTCAGGAGACACTGGGGGATTCAAACCACCGGAGACACACAATCTTTGGATTAACAGCACAACTCACTGTGGACTATTCCTCTAGTGCTCCCTTGAATATGTTGTTGTTGTAATGTGCCGTCGAGTCACTTGTGACTCATCGTGACCCTGTGTAAAATAGGCCCATAACCTGCACTATCCTGTGCCAACCTTACTGTCTCTGACACATCTACCCCATTACCCCAGTCACTGAATCAATCCATCTCTTCGAGGGTCTTCCTTTTCTTTTGCTGTTTCTCCACCCTTCCAACATGATGTCCCTCTCCAAGGATTGGTCCCTCCTTGCAACATGCCCAAAGTATGGCAGATGGAGCCTCAGAACCCTTGAATATACATAATAAAAGAAGGAAAAAAAAGAGAGATACCAATCTTTAGTCCTCTTAAAAAATTAACATTTTTGGTCTGAGAAAAACCATGTTAAGAGGAAAAGACCAGGGACAGACTGAGGAGAAATTATTTGGAAGCTCGTGTTTGCAACCCACTCCTATCTGACCTAGGGGCTCAGGTGAACTAGTTGTCAGGAATTGCACTGTCACCCCAAGGGCAGGCAGTTCAAATCCACCAGCAGGAGAAAGATTAACAATCTCTTCCCATACAGTTTATAGCCTCTGCAAATCCACTGGAGGATCAGCTATGAGTCAGATCTGATTCAACAATACATAAAAAAAAAACCCCAAACACCACAATAATGTATCTGGCCTAATAAAGAAATGGGGGGAAAAAATTCAACAGCAAGAATAAAGTAATCCAGACAAAAAATAGGCAAAATGGTGAAGTGTACATGCATATATATGTGGCCAGAAACACATGAACAAATATTCCATATCACTAGCTATTAAGCCAAAGACCAAACCCAGTGTCTAACTCATGGTCAATTCCCATCGGGTTTCTGAGGCTGTAAATCTTAATGAGAGGAAACGGCCTATCTTTTCTCCCTCAGAGTGGCTTGTGGGTGTTGACTGTGACCTACTTGGCTAGAAGTCTGCTATATTACTCACCATGCCACCAGGGCTCCTTTGCTAGTCATAAAAAACTCCCACAAAAAAACAAATCAAACCACAAATTAAGAAGACATCCTTGCTTTCTAGCCCATTAAAGAGGTGCTTGATAGCAGATTGTCCAAGTGCAACGCATGTTTTAATTTCCTGACTGCAGCTACCATGTGTGCTGATTGTGGATCTAATTGAAATGAAATTGTTGAAAACTTCAATCTTTTCTCCCTCATGGTGTTGCATATTGGCCCAGTGGTGAGGAATTTTGTTTTCTTGATGTTGAAATGTAATCTCTGTTGAAGGCTGTAGTCTTTCATTTTCTGCAGCGAGGGCTTCAGGTCTTTATTTTCTGCAAGCCAAGTTTGTGTCATCTCCACACTGCAAGTTGTTCAGTCATCCCCCAGTCCTGAGGCTTCATTCTTCTTCACACAGGTCAGCTTCTCTGTTGATTTGTTTAGCATACAGACTGAATAGGTACGAAGAAATATACACATCCTAAAATTTGTCCCTTCTACTCACCCACAAGAAAGAATTGTTTGACATTTCACAGTCTTGACAAGCTCATCAGCAACAGGAAAAGCTGAGTCCTGCACTTCCCATGCACAGGACAAAAAAGTTTGAATGAGTTTCAAGGACACTAAGAGGTGAAGAGGTGGTCGTGGTAGGTAGTTGTGTGGATCTGGCCGTAGGGAAAGAGATTGATCAGGAGATCAGTCTGGGAGTCTACACACCTGCAATCTGTTTTGATCAGAGCTCCTGGGCTATGGGGTGGAGATCCTTCCAAGTGCTGCAGATTTTGGTCAAGCCTTTAAATTCAGGGCAACACAAAGTAAAGCACGGAGATTGGAGTGTATCAGAGCTGCATTGACATGGAGAAACGATTTCCTGATGAGATCATGATTAAAATCTTCACCTTCCTGGACGGACTGAGCTTACTCCAGGCTTCCCAAGTGAACAAGGTAAAGTCTCTCCGCCCTCAGCAGCTTTACTGAATTAGCATTTTCACCTCCCCAGCTTGCTCACCTCTCCCTGAGCCCTGGGATCTCACTGTACCAGCATCACGCCCAAAGCGCCTTCCCTCCATCCTTTTACTTACCTTGTTCTGAACCCAGATCCACCCGTTGTACTCTGATACACTAGTGCTCTTGGGACTCAGTGTCTTCTCTTGACAGGTTTGAGCACCAATTTGCAGAAGAGCAGGGTGATATTTTTGGAGTTAGTATCATTCACTCTAAAGGTCTCATTTTATGAAAATGACAAACTGACTTGGAGTTTCTGTGGTCTTTGGTCTTTCCCAAGGAAATCAACATTTCTATTTTAGAATTCACAGAAATGCCAGTATAGGTAGAGATAGTTCTCTCTCTCTCTAATTAACATTCCTTCCCACCCTACTAAATTATGAGGACTTGGAGAGCTGGGATCCTGTCTGACTAAACTGCGGGCTCTCCTCCCAGAACAAAATGATATCAGAAGAATCAAATTCAGGTCTTGATTGACTGCTTATCTCTTCCTTTCTCTTAGCAATGGAATCATCTCGCAGACAATGAAAAGCTGTGGAGGTGAGTAAAGGAGGGGGCAGAGTAAGGCAGGAGCAAAGTGTCCTTTGGGGGAAGAGGAGGACTGATTGTGCACTTGCTGGTGACATCTAGCCTGTGTGCTTGAAGGTTCTAGTGAGTAAAGATTCATGTGATGTAACAGTGGTCCGTTGACTGGGATTGATCGGGGAAGTCTGAAGGGATTGTGGCTCTGGTTCCAGATTAATGTGTCTGAAGAGATGGACTTTCTGCGAAGACTATCTGGGCATAAGGACTTGGAAGCGGTTCTTCCTTGATCAAATAAAGCAGGACTATTGTATGGCATTGGCTCGGAGACAAGACTTTACGTACAAAATATCTCAGGACATAGGTAAGGAGGCAGGTGTCCTAGAGAAGTATGATAAATTCCAGAATCAATCCCCTGCTCCCCACAAGCAGTTCTGTGGTCCCATTCAGTGAAGGGAATACTAAAACCTGCCATCCTCAAGTTGATTCAGACTCCTACTCCTGTAGGGCAGATTAGATTTCTAAGTCCCTGTTGCTGTAAATCATCATCTTTCTTGTACAGAGTGCAAACCATTCATCTTTCTGTTAGCAGACCATTGTTTACCCAATGCTTCCTATTGATGGGAAGAGGAATTGAAAGTCAGTGGCACTGACTTCATAGCTGCTTTGTTTCCCTTCTTATTCATGTTATGTTGAAAGTGTGGAGTTGCTCCCTTTAGTGAAAAGTTTCCCAATCCCTCCTGGAATAAAAATCCTTCAATAACAACAAAGTATTACTATGCAACTTTTAAAGAATTGATGCTTTATTTGTGTGACCTTACGTAAAACTCTGAACAAAATGGAGAGCTCTTCATTTTATATCTATGGATAATGAAGTTAAGGAGGGGGGAAAAAGACTTGACCAATATCTAATAAATGGCCAGTCCAGAATGGGAATACATGTTCCTCACGTCTCCCTGGGAGAGTGTGGAAGAAATAAGTGATTTCCAACCCCCACCCCCATCTTTTCACCTGCAGACTTTTTTTTTTTTTAAATTAGTGTTGGACCATCCCTCATATGTCTGGTGCCAAATACTATGCTTCTTCCTAGGTGTAATAAGATATATTGCCTATCTCTCAGGAAGTGGTCTCTCAATAGATGGACAAGAGAGGTCAATTGTCTGTGGTGCTTCTTCTAGACACAAACTTTTTGCCTGGGATATGCAAAAGGTGAGTGTTACCTGGAGCCTGTAATAATGCTTACCTGAGTCTTTCCTGTTAGAGAAATAAGTCAGAAATACTGACAGGGACGTAATATTCAGACTTAGTGATAGAAACATATTTTTAAGTCGTGTCTTCAAGCTCATACTCTGTGGCCATTTTATTTAAGTCATAACACAGGGAGACCTCAGATTTTTTTCCCCCCACTATGTGCTTCTATATATAAATGGAGCTTTGGTGGCCTAATGGGTAAGGAGTTGTGTTGTCAAGTCAAAGGCAGATGGTTCAAATACACCAGTTCCTTAGGAGAAAGATGGTTCCTCAGGAGACAGATGATTTCTTCTTTGATTTAGAGCCTCTGAAAATCCACTGGAGGGTTAGCCCGGAGTTCTAACTCAATGTCAATGAGTTTGAATTGTTTTTTTAAAAAATATGTAAATATGTGCAAAGGTTTATTTTCTAATGGAAGCTCGTATATTTCAAAGTCATATTACATATGCCAGTATCATGCATATTCCTTACCTGGTCAATCTCTTTGCCAACTTTTACCATTTGTTGCATTGACTTTTTCCAAAAAGTGTTTAATTCAAATTACTTCAAAGGTGCACAAAGTAATGCAAAGAAGACTAAGAGAACTGGAATTACATAATGTGGATCTCAAAGTGTTGTTTTCTTGGCTTTCTCTGATTGGATTTCTCTTGACTCCTTACACTCTCTACCTGTAAAATGTGGCAATGATCTGAGTCTTTTGGAGTATGAGAAATAATACCCTTTTACAGGACATGGCAAGAACATGAGATAATCATCTCTTGGATAATATGCTTTAGGGGATAATTTGTTCTACTCACCATGTTCCTGAGGACATTCAAGTAGCCCAAATAAATAGATGCATGTAGAAAAGAACTCAGGGTTCCTGCCAAGAGTACATCAACTTTCCGTCTTTAAGTTCTCTATGTTGGAAACATCATCCGAGTTTATTCAAATCTTTCTATTGGGGCTCCAGCCAGCACCTTCATAGTCACCTCTTTATACTCCAAGCTTGACTATCTACATCTGTTCATTGTAAATTTTTTTTAAATTGTAAACTTTATTTTATGATTTTTTTTTGTGTGTGTGTATGCACCGCCAAATCAGATTTGGAGGAGATTGTCGCGCCTTCTCCAGCAGAGCATTTGGTGGATTTGAACCACGTTTCTCTAGGATTGCACTGCAGCTCCTTGCCACTAGGCCACCAGAGCTGCCTCATTGTGAAATTTTGACCTCCTGCATCTTGCTACTTAAGTGTTTATTGCTTTGAGTAGCTATCTTGCAAGAAAATTTGCTATGCAAAAATACCTAGGAAATACAGAATCTGAGGAGTTTGTTGGGCCTTGAGACCCTTGGTGGAAATTCCAAGGCTTGCCATGAAGCTGTCAGTGACAGCTTAATGTGTGAAATTTTTTACTGGAAACTGGAGAAAAGGGGATTCCTATTTTAAAATAACCAACTTCAGCAATGCTTTTATTACGTTAATGGGAAATACTGGAAATTGGAAAATATCCCCAAAGAATCAAATAATATTGTTAAAACTTGCAGTTGGAGTGTTGGATATTCGTTTGTTCTTGCAATTAAAGGAATCTCTGGCAGCCTAGTGGTAAGAAGCTGTGCTGCAACCCCAAAGGCTCCCGGTTCCGACTCGACAGCACATAAAAATGTGCTACTTACCATAAAATGCGAGAGGAACCGGAAATGCCTGATGTAAAAATGAAAAAAATTCAACCTATCTAGAAAACAAATGATACTAAATTTAGGAAATAAGATTCCAAGCAATTGTCAGTATAGAAATGATCAGTAAACCTTAAAATATAGTGCAATGATAAAGCCAAAGTAGCTTTTATCCGGTGAGATTGCTCAGAATCGTTAAGCAAGAGAACTTTTGGCAGGAATCACATTTCCTAAATTAGAATCTTAATTTTTAACAAGATCCCAGGTGATTCTTTCTCTTTTTGTTAAATCACTTTCCTCATTTTACCAATTTGCCAACCCTCCTCGGGCTGTACTCACTCCCATTCTTAATTTATCTTAGTGAAAATTTACAAATCCCACTGGCTTTTCCATTCATTCATACATTTTGTTTCATAACGTTGATTAAAGTAATTAATTACAGTGTCTAACCTCATATTGTTTATTGCCTTTGATCCCCGGTGATTTTTATTAGGATTCCAAACTGAAATGAACCAATTTGAAGCACTGCCTTTTTTTAAAATTCTATTTTATTTTGTGTGTGTGTACCCTCAAATCAGATCTGACTGGTACAACAGGAGATTGCCCCTCCTTCTCCAGCAGAGGATTTAGTGGATTTGAACCACATACCTCTGGGATTGCAGATCCCAGAATCAGCACAGCTTCTTGCCTCTAGGCCACCAGAGCCCCCCTGAAGCACTGCTTTTTAAAGAAATCAGCAATTTTCCTTTGCAGCCTCAGCAGAAGCCAGAAATAGAGAAAGATTTCCCTCTGGGAATTGTAAAAATGGCTGTTATCAAATAGTGTGTTCTTAGGAGACCAGCATTTTTAAGAGACTGACATTGGCAGAAATACTGTCAGTGTGGATTTAAATAAGCTCAAATATTATAAAACAAATTTAAAAAATCTTTCAATCCTTAAAACTTTTACAGACAGGAAGCAAGCTATAAAATTTACTCAACTGAAAAGAAAATCAGTTACTATACACGGAAAAGGTAGGATGATTCAGAAGCAGAACCAAGAGTCTAGAGAGTTCTGCTACAAATCATTTTCAGGTCTTGGTTCTGAATCAATGTGCTACCAATGTGTTCTCTACTGGTTTTCAGCATTTCTGTATTAGTGGCTCCCTGGTTCTTCTCATCACTTCTCCCTTCCCTCCTTTTTGCAGGAGCCTCCACAGTATAACCTTATGCCTTCCATAGAATTTTTTTTTAAAGAGTTAAGGTAGAGGGGACACAAACAACTTGTGTATTTAGTTCAAAGCTTTTCACATTAAGAAGAACTAGACATGAAGAGCCTCATTTACATCAGTTTTTGTTGTGTACAGTTCAGTTGGAACTGACTCCCACAGGTTTTCAGAGGTGGTTTAATTGTGTGGGTGGAGGTTGCCTGGCCTTATAGAATGGCGAGATCCTGTATTTTGAGGTGGTATGAAATATTTGAGGGCAATTGAGTTGGTGAGTGTCTTTTGTGGGTAAGAAGTGACTCATTAAGTGCCACAGATGGGCCTGTGATAGACAGCCTCCACTATGCCTCATAATATTCTTTGTGTTATAGTACTTGTAATCCTCCTACTCACATGTTCAGTAGGCTTGACCTATGCACCAAATTAAGGTGCCACAGAAATGATGTTTAGCTTTTGAAGCTATAGCCTAAAAGATACTTGTCTTCTCTTGGGCCATTGGAAAAGTCAGTTGCAGTGTTATGAGGACCCTCAAACAACTGTAGAGAGGAGTCGTTTATGTGCTGACAACTAAGAACTTCTGCCAATAGCCAGCTCCCATTTTCCAGAGATGTGAGGAAGTCCTATCTAAGGTGGAACTTCAACCTCATGAAATACCTCAAGCTAGCACAACACAGCCGTGCTACCCTTGAAGTTTTGTGGACATTTGATTGTGCTTTGAGTGAAAGCTCACATAGCAAATTAATGACTTATTCAATAGCTCACATACAGATTATTTTATCACAGGAGTTGTAATCTCCAAATTGTGTCAGTACAATCCCTCTATCTAGTCATTTGATTTTCCTACACTTTACTGTCTTGTCATAATTCCTTTTTTAAAATCGTAATTCCTTTCTGTCAAATTCTGTTTTGATCTCATATCGTCCTAAGTCATGGATTATTCTGGATGTTCATCTTTAAAATAGGCTTGTCTATTGGATTGAAAGGTGATTCTGTGAGTGGCTTTGGTTCAAAGTTAGAACGATGGATTATGGTTATAGTCTCTTCAGTCTCCCAGACCAGTAAGTCAGTGTTTTTCTCTCGGCAGTGAATTTAAAATTTATTGTATATTTTTCTCTCACTCTAACTGGGGCCTACTATCCTGTTTCTGCTCAGAGCAGTTGCCGCTAGCCATGCACCATCTAGTATTGCTACGATCAGGCTGTTGGAGGTTCATGTAAACTAGTTATTTAGAGTAATTGCTAAGTCTTCAGTTTTCTTCACTCTTCTTTGCTTCTGATGGGAGAGCAAGAATTGTATCTTGGATGACAAGCTTTTAAGATCTTGCACACTGCTGTCCAATGCAGGATCTAGCATAGTATCTTTACGAGCTCTATTGTCCCAGTTGACCTAGATGTTTCAAAACTATATAGTCCATAGCCTTCAAAGCATCATAAAGTAGTTATGGCTAAAAAGTTCCTTCAATTATGTCCCCATGTGCTCTACTATATCTATAGATCTGTATCCAGATCTAGCTATATGAATGCACATTGTTGTTGTTGTTAAGTGCCATTGAGTCAAAGATGGCTCATAGTGACCCTATGAATGAAAGACCTGAACACTTATATAACTTTCATCGTTTCTCCAAGTTCATAGCGTATATACATATGTATATAACAATATCCACAAGTTTACTTCTCTAGACACATGATTGTACTCCCATACAACCTCTCATACCTATTTAACATCTCTATTCATCCACTTGTAAATTATTGTTTGCGGTTATTTTTGTTTGAGGATTTACTGTAGTAAATACTGAACAAGGCTTAATGTAGTTGTCCATTTATGTAATATTGATAATCCAACAGCAGCTGTGCTAACATTCATTCTACATATAAGAAAGTCACAGTAGCTGTATGAAGAAATACTCAAAATCACTGGCAATTATAGCGATGCAAATCAGACTCACAATGAGATACTTTCTCACTCCATTAGCAGTGACAAAGTTTAACAGGACAGCAAGTAACAAATGTTGCAGAGGATATTGTGAGATAGAAATTCTTATACACTTTTGGTGGGATTGTAAAATGGTACAACCACTCTGAAAGGCAGTTTGGTGTTTCTTCAGAAAGCTGAACATAAAAATTCCATATAACCCAGCTTTTCTACTACTTGGAATGTAGCCGGAGAGAATGAGAACTGAGGCACAAATGGAGGCTTGTACACCAATGTTCACAGCAGCCTTACTCACCATTGCAAGAACATGGAACTAGCCCAAATGTCCAACCACAATTGAGTGTATTGAGAAACTATGGTATATTCATTCACTCAATGGACTAGTATGCAGCATGCAGGAGCAATGATTTTGTAAATCAGTACTTAACTTGGGAGGGACTGGAGAGCATCATGCTGAGTGAACTAACTCAGTTCCATAAGGACAAATACTGTAAAAAACCCCTTATTGTAGAATGCATATGAGGATCCAAGGTGGGGTAGGGGTGAGGGAGCAGAGGGCTGAGGATGAGTAAGGGTTGGAGGGTGGTTAATCATAAGGTCATATGATTTGATGTATTTGGGGGCAGTGTAGGAAATAGGAAAGATACGGTGTGAAAAACAATGTACATGAACTTTGTAAATTAGTTTTTTTAAAAAGTTACAATAGTGGCTAACTTTATAATGTTGCACTGTTAGCAAAAAACCAAGAATTGATTTGAGCCCAGGCAATTGATTGCTTTTCTAGTTCATCATAATGATTTCCTGTCTTTTATTCACTCTTCATTTATAATTGAAAATTTTCAGAGAATTTTCATATTCTTATCCCAGAAACAAGAAGTAGAACAGATTTGCAAGAGGCTTCCAAGTAAACATGGGCAGAATAAATCCACAGTAGGCTTCTCATGAAAATTCCTTGAATACAGATGTATTTATTCACTCTCGTTCTCCAGGGTGCTATAATCTGGGCAAGCCCATTCCAGATGTTTCCTATCCACATAATGATAACCCTCCCTCAGAGGAATCTTGCGTTCACTTTGGATTCAAGTCGTACTATCAAGGTGTGGGATTGTTATAGTGCAGATGCACTGACTGCTATTAGCATGACTACATATGGCTCTTCCATGGAAGCCTTTGTTACAGAAAGTGGTTCATTCCTAATGGTAAGTGAATCCCTCAATCTGGAAGGGAGGCATCTATATCTGCTATTATCTATTATCTGCATCCTTCACAAGCTTTCTAGTGCCAATCATTGCTACATCATGATCTGTCTTTTAAATTTTTTTTTTTTAATTTTGTATGTACCGTCAAATCAGATCTGACTGGTACAGGAGGAAATTGTCCCTCTTTCTCCAACTGAGCATGTGGTGGATTTGAATTGTGCACCTCTGGAATTGCAGTGCAGCTTCTTGCCAGTAGGCCACAGAGCTCACCCATGATCTGTCTTTTAAATTTGGATTTTCCACATACTCCGAGGGTTAGACCCAGTGAGTCAAAAAATGTCGACCATGTAAACCTCGGTCAATCTCAACTTTTTTTAAAAAAAAATGATTAATTTACAGCACTTTTGGATTTCCATTCATTCATTGTTGCACTTTTCTGCCCCCTCCCCCGCCCCCGCTAGCTCTTCTCTTTGAAAAGTAAAAAAAAAAGTCTATCATTGATATACAATCCCCCCACACACACACCCCCCACACACCCCAGGTATACTACACTCGGAAATCTTCATTCCGGACTCTTAAGATAATCATAATGACTTTTTTTTTAACCTACCGCATGTACACTTCTTTGTCAAGTCCTCTAAAAACAACGCCCTCATTTATTTTATATCTATGCCCATAGATTTTACATATATGTCTTTTCTTTCAAATGTGCATTGTTTGTGCAGAACATGAGCTTTGACAGTGGCACTGGAGGAAGAGATGGGGATTTGGGGAGACAGTGAAAAGGCGGAGTGTCAGTGTTTTAATGAGCTACTATCCTTGAGCAGAGTTATCTGAGGCTTCACATGCAACCATCATAACACCTTTCTGGATCAGTTGGTCAAATGTTTTGATTTATAGTATATGATTAAAGAACCAGTGGCACATCTTGCAGCAAATAGCTCTACTTCTTTGTTTTTGAGAATCTCATGGCTTTTCTCATTGACATGACTGATGCTTTGGTTTCAGGTGGGTGACTCTGTAGGTGACATCTATACATTTACAGTGCCTGATTTAAGGCGTGTTTCTAGGGCTCATGCATTTCAATATAATGTGGAACGTCTACTCTGCTCTCCTGACAAGAAGCTGATCTTTGCATCAGGATGTGACGAAGCTATCTTCCCAAAGGTAAGTGGTGTGCTTCATGCTCTAAGCGTGGGCTGTCAAGCATGAAGATGGGAAAGCTAGGAAGTGTGAGAAACTGAAGAGCTCAGTGAGTTCCAGACATGCTGTTCCCTCTTCTCAGGCTACATTATTGCAGGAAGTCGAGACCCGGGGGAGACGCCTTGGGAATAAATCACCATGAATGCCCCATTAGTGAGAGGAAGAGATGATTCAGAATGCTGGTGGAGCCCCACCAGACACAAATACAAAATGGTTTGGGCTCCCCAGACTGCTTTGTTTGGGGCCTGTATACGGATACAGACAAAGGAATGATCAGTGAGCTCGCTTGTTGGTGAGTCCCAATTTATGGAAGGAGGCAGGAATAACATACAAGGTATTAGCTGCGTTGTTTGCTCCCCACCCCACCTCACAGCACTAAGAGGAGGAGGGAGTCATGTTCCTATCCTTGAGAGGGGGAGGGAAAGGTGCATCCAGGCATGTCTTTCACTTTCCATAGATGAGGGACTGTTTGTCTGCTCAGTCAGATAAGAAGCCTGAGACCTGGTGGAGTTGCCGCTGTTCTCAGCTTCTGCGATTTTTTTTCTGTAGGACTGTGAGGTCTTTCTCCTTCTCTCTTAGGAATCTTCACGTGGTGAAGGACTCCCTCCTCAATGTCACAAATAAAATTCGTTCATAACCCCCAAAATGTTCTTTGAAGTAGTGATAGTTTGGTGCAGTGTAAATCTTCACCAATCAGGATTTTCTCAAGATACCTGAGTCGGGCAATATACACCAAGAAGTCAGAAACTTTGGTGGCATTGTTTACTTTTGAGAATTTAACTTAACTTTTATTTACCTTGGCTACAAAATAGAGCGGGGTCCAGAAGTAAACAGACATGTTATCAGTCTCTGAATGTCCCTGGGAGAAAGTTGTAGGCTTCTGAGCCGACAATTCTTAGACTGGCCCAAGTGGATTAGGGCAGAGCATAACGAGTTGAAAGGTCAGGCAGCAAAACCAAAACACTGCTTGGATAGTACTCCAAGAAAGGAAAAATCTTCCTAGCCAGGCTCAACTTGCTTTTGGGGCCATTGTAGCAAGATTTTGCAGCTCTTTGCCATACCAGAAGAGAAATTTCTGGGACTCTCGTGCTGTCTGTGAACAAGACAGAATTAAGGAAGATGGAGAGTTCATTGTATTTTGCTGCCAGATAGCACTGACTACATCCACTTCTTACTTGCCTGCTCATTCTCCAACATTTTGTGTTTGAACTATACTGAAAACCAACCTCTCCAAATCTGTGGATTACATTAGGCTAAATATATCTGTCAGTCACAAATAGAGCTGCATTCAGAGCTGTTGTACATAGGGTCACTATGTGTTGGAGTCCAGTTGACAGCACTTAACAGCAAATATTGAGTTGTGAGGTGAGAGTAATGCCTGGCTACGGTTGTTGAAGTTATGTGTTAAGTTGGCTGAACTGATTCGCAGTGGTTTCACAGTTACGTTATGGGAACATAATTTTTTTTTATTTTTATGTGTGTGTGTGTGTGTGTGTGTGTACACCTTCAAATCAGATCTGACTGGTACAGGAGGAGATTTCCCCTCCTTCTCAGACAGAGCATCTGGTGGATTCCAACCGCGTATCTCTGGGAATGCAGTGCAGCTTCTTGCCACTAAGCCACCAGAGCTCCCCTGGGAACATAATTTTTACATAATACTTTTTTAAAAATAATGACTTGATCTTTGGAACCTGGCCATGTTAATGAGACATTCAATAAAATTTGACAGATGAACATTTTTAAGAAGGGTTTCCTGAGGTCTCTTCTGTACTAAAACGTTACAACTGCTACCTTTACCTGTTTATATCTTAGGTATTTGTCACAGAACATTTACTGAAAAAATCAGAAAAAGACCATCTTATGCCCTGCTCTATCCCTGTTGCATTGTGCTGGACAGCCTGCTGGGCTCCAAGGAAAGCAAACAGGATAGCAATGTCTAGAAGAAATATAGATGAAAGGGTAACTCTGATCACTTTTGACTTTACAACTAAGTTGGTTGATGGCAAAACATTAATTGAAGGTAGGCTGTGCTATTGTATAAATACCTATTTCTCCTCTTTTTTACACATGCATTCATTTTGAACTATAGGTTTATGTTAATAGATAAATCTATATAAAGGGGTCGAGGTCATGCTTATTGAATTCCAATACCTATGTTTCTGATCTACCCACTCCAACCTGTTAGATCTATTTAGATTTCCATCATGCTTTAGACCTGGATTGCAATGCCTTTTCTCAATATAGATCTTCAATAGTTGAGCTATTATTGTCTGTGTTCTCTACTTTTCTTCCCTGGCTTTCTGTTCCTGTGACATAGGACCATAACCATAGCATAGTTCATGCATTTTCCAGGCCACTGGCCTACCACCCTTCATTTTCCTCATGGAACTGAAGTGTTTTTGTTGTCAGGTGCCTTCAAGTAAGACCCATAGTGACCCTGTGAACAAAAAATAAAAATCTTGTCCTATCTTGTGGCATCCTCCTAATTTATGAACCTATTTTTCCTTGAACCCATTGCTGCAGTCAAATATATTGAAGATCTTCCTCTTTTTCTGATCCTTCACCTTATGCATTATTTGTCCTTTTGTGACTGAAATATTTCACTCAGCATAATGTCCTCCAGGGTAACCCATTTTGTATAATATTACATGAGTTCCTTGTTTTACAATGCAGCATAGTTTTCCATCATGTGAATATACTAGAGCTTCTGTATCCATTTTATTGTTGATGGCCACTGGGTTGTTTCCAACTCTTTGCTATTGTGAACAAAGCTGCAATAAACATGGGTGTGCATATATCTGCTTGGGTGGCAGTTATGGTTTCTTTAGGGTATATTCCTAGTAGTGGAATTGCTGGGTCAAATGGTATTGATATTTGCAACTTTTTGAGAAAGTGCCATACTGCCTTCCCTCGTGATTGCACCATTTTACACTCCCATCAACAATGAATGAGGGTTTCAGTTTCTCCACAACCTTGTCAGCATTTGTTGTCTGCTACTCTGTTGAATTTTGCTATTCTTACTGGGGTAAAATGTTATCTCATAGATCCTCCCTTTCTAAGCATGATGTCCCTAGCCAAGGAATAGCATCTTCTAATAACATGTCCAAAATAAGTGAGATAAAGCTTTGTCATCTTTGCCTCCAAGGAGCACTGTGGTTGTACTTTCTCCAATACATACCTGTTTGTTCTTTTGGCAGTCCATGGGATATTCAGTACTCTTCTCCAACAGCACAGCTCAAAGACCTCATCAATTCTTTTTTTCTGTCATCTTTATTCATTGTACTTACTTTCAGATACATAGCAAGTGATTGAAAAGATTTTATTTTTTACACTTAACATAAAGACACTATCTTGACTACAGAATCTGAAAATTGCATATGTGTGTGTATATATCTCTGATGTGTACATATATAATGTATATCTTAATATGTTTTCATGGGGAAAAAGCACACGAGGTCGCAAGATTCCATTTACCAGATCGTTATGAAATTCTTAGTTACCTTGCATTCAATGATGGAGAAACAATTGCCTTTGTGAGTGGTTGGTATCTGTTCCTCTACACCATTGATGGCACCATGTTACAGCGCCTTGCAAATCATCGGAGCAACATTTGCTACTTATGGTCGGTATGTATGTGTGTAATGTTTTCCCCCTCTTACTTACTGCTCTGAGTTTGACTTCTTGTCTACTTACTCCTGCCTGTCCTTTGAAGGACCCTGTCCATGTCCTCACCACAGGCACGGATGATTTTCTGAATTTGTACATGTGGAAGGAGGAGGGCCGCTCTTCACGCCTCGTACACTGCTGTCGTCTGCAACAACAGCCAGGCGATTGGACCCCGAGATGGTAAGGCCCACTTGGTTACTTAAACTTTTCCTGAAAATTTTTTATTTCAATATAAGAAATCAATGAAGTATCAATGAAGGAAGAATGTTTTTCAAGACTCTTTGCTGGTTTATAGGAGTACAAAGCATATGGAGCTTGCTAGTACTTGGAGAATGACCACAATCCAATAAATGTCAGTGGGTTTTTTTTCCCAAGTGGCTGCTTATTATACTCCCATATGCAGTATGTGAAAGGTTTAGAGTGTGTGTGTGTGCGCGCACATGTGTGTATGCATGTGTATACATATATATAAAATATATTTAAAAATATATATAAAATATATATTTAGTTTGGAAGGCTTGCTCCTTTCTTTTTTTTGGGGGGGGGCAAGACAAAGATTCCTGATCAAGCCCCTTGCTCCTTTCTTGTGTGTACTAGTCATTTGGGTTGGTTTTTAGTGAGCTACTACTTTGACCATTTGGCAGATTTTTTTTGGCTGAATGACATGTCTCAATCACAATTGTTTCTTTTTTTTATTTAAATAAAACTTTTATTTTATACTGGTTTACCCACAAAGTTTGTATACATTGTTTTTCACACTGAATCTTTCCTAATGCCTTTACCCACCCCTCTCTACCCACCTATTAGTGTAACCCTATGATTAACCCACCCGTCCTTACTCCTCTGCTCCCACCCTCTCACTCTTGGACATTCATACGCATTCTACAGTAATGGTCTTATAAAGTATTTGTCTTTATAGGACTGAGTTCATTTAGCATAATACTCTGCAGTCTCTCACAAGTTAGGTAGTAATTTACAAAGTCATTGCTCCTGCATGCTGCATAATATTCCATCATGTCAATGTACCATAATTTCTCAATTCGCTCAGTTATGGTTGTACATTTGGGCTGTTTTTGTGACTTTGCGATGGTGAATAACGCTGATATGAACATAGGTGTACGAGTCTCCATTTCTGCCTTAGTTCTCTCACAAATGATTTTTTTTTTAAATCTTATTTTATAATCTGATCAGACTGGTACAGGAGGAGATTGCTCCTCCTTCTCCAGCGGAGCATCTGGTGGATTTGAACCATGTGCCTTCAGGATTGCAGTGCAGCTTCTTGCCACTAGGCCACCAGAGCTTCTCACAATTGTTTTAATATTTTACTGTGCAGAGACTTTTCGAGAGCTCTGGTGACCTTGTGGGTGAGGAGTGGCACTGCCAGCCTAAAAACAAGTGGTTTGAATCCACCTGCTGCTCTGCAGGATAAAGATGAGTAAGCTCCTGCTCATCCTACAATTCACTGCCTCTGAGAGCCCTCTGGAGGGTCAGCTATGAACAGATTCTGACATGAGGGAACATCACAACAACAGAGGAACTGTATACTGTCATTGTTATGTACCATTGAGGCCCTTGTGACTCATAGTGACCCTGTGCATAACAGTTCTGAACCCTGCTCTACTCTGAGCCAACCTTATTGTCTCTGATATACCTATCTGCATTATTCCCATCACTGAATCCATCCATCTCATTGAGGGTCTTCCTCTCTTGCGTTGTCCCTCCACCCTCCCAAGCATGATGTCCCTCTCCAAGGACTGGTCCCTCCTTGCAACATGCCCAAAGTATGTCAGACAGAACTTCAGAATCCTTGCCTTCAAGGAGCAGCCTGGTTTCACCCTCTCCAAGATGAACGTGTTTGTTCTCCTAGCAGCCTATGGTATATTCAATACTCTTCTCTAGCACCACAGTTCAAAGGCATCGATTCTCCTTCCCTAGTCATTGTCCAGCTTTCTGACGCATAGCAAGTAATTGTGAAGACCATGGCCTGGATCAGGCACACCTTAGTCTCCAGACTGACATCATTGCTTTTCAGTTCTTTGGAGAGGTCTCTGCCATCAGACTTTCCCAGTGCAATTTGTCTTTCAATTTTCTGGCTGGTGTTGATTGTAGAGACAATATGAAGCTATTAACAATCTCAGTCTCTTCACCATCTATCATGATGCTGTCAATCAGCTCAGTGGTGAGAATCTTTGTTTTCTTGATGTTGAGTTTCAATCCATAATTAAGGCTGCAGTCCTTGAGCTTCTGCAGCAAATGCCTCAAGCCCTCCTCAGTTTCGACAAGCAAGGTTGTGTTATCTGCATAATACAGGTTGTTGAGCCTTCCAGTCCTGATGCCACATTCCACCTCATAGAGCTTAGCCTCCCTGATGACTAGTTCACATATAGATTGAAAAGGAATGGAGATAGTACACATCCCAGACATACACCCTCCCTGATTTTGAACCATGTAGCTGGTGTTTCCTTGTTCTGTTCTGACGGCTGCCTCCTGGTTCAAGTATAGGTGTCACATAAGTACAATCAAATATTCCGTGGGACTCCCATTCTTCTCAGAGCTGGCCAGTTTGGTATGATCTGCAGTCAAATGCCTTTGCCTAGTCAATGAAACACAAATTCCTCTGGTACTCTCTGCTTTCAGCCAAGATCCATCTAACATTAGCTGTAATATCCCTAGTACCATGGCCTCTTTTAAACCCAGCCTGCACATCTGGCAGTTCTGTTGATATGCTGTTCCAGTTGGTTTTTTGATATTTAAAAAATAGTTTCTGAAAGCCTGATGTCTTGTGTTTCGTCTTTATGGTGATACAGAACTTTTTGGCAAAGCCTAATAACTACAGATATCTAGCCTTTGAACCACTCATGGTCCTAAAAGGAACTTACCCTGACTGTTGTTCATTGTAGTTGTTTTATTATTATTATTATTTTGTGTGTGTCTGTGTATCATCAGATCAGATCTGACTGGTACAGGAGGAGATTGTCCCTCCTTTCCCGGCAGAGCATCTGGTGGATTACGAACCATGCGCCTCTGGGATTGCAGTGCAGCTTCTTGCCACTAGGCCACCAGAGCTCCCCTGTTCAGTGTCATTTTATTTACTATTGTCAACCTCTGACAACTACCTAATTGTCCAAATAGAAGTGATTGTTGGCATTATTATGGTCCATCTACACAATAGAGTGTATGCTGCCAAATATAAATAATCAGAAAAATGCATATGCAAAATATTTCTAGTGTTTTGGGGCATAAAAATATTTTAAGTAAATGTGTTAATCTTTTAAAAAAATTATTTTATCTTGGTTTGCTTACAAAGTTTGTATACACTGTGTTTCACACTATTGTGTTTCATACAATGATTCCCATTAATTATATTTTATCAAATTAAATTAATCATAATCATTCTCAACAGGTTTTTAAATAGATTATTTCATTTTTATATTAGAACTAAATATAACCTAACTATTTTGAATCATAAATACTTATTTTTCAATAACTTAAGATACTTAGCTTTGTATCAGATGCCCCATGGCACATTCTCATCTGTAATGTAATATTTTTATCTCTTCACAGCTTTGTATCTTTTGTTTGACGTATTTTTTTAATTAAGTCAAGGGTATGTCTTCCTCAGATATACACCAGTTCCTCAACACACAGTTTAAGTCTTCAGTGTTTAGTGTTTTGGTTTTTTTTTTAAAGGTTTAAATTTTCACAAGGATATAAAGCCCAGCAACCTTTCAGTACAATGAAAACATGAGGTCTGACGTTTCCGCATGTCCATTGCGCTCTCTTGCTCCGTCACTACTCACGACTGGCAACCACTGATCTACTCTCTGTTCCTGTAAATTAGTTCAATTTCCTATAATTTCTTATAAATGCAATTATGCAGCACACACTCCATTATGTCTGGCCTTTCTCAAGGAGAGAGATTGGATTTGAGATGCATCCAAGTTCTGGCATTCATTTCATTGCTAGTTAGTGTCCCATTGGACTGATACATTTCACTCTGTCTATCAATTCTCTAGTTAAGGGGCATTTATTTTATGTCTGGTTTGGATTATTATGAGTCAAACAGCTGTAAACATCTGTAAACAGATTGTTGTATAAATGATTATATTTGTTGAGTGTCCATTTAACTTGATAATAAACCTCCTAGGTAATTTTGCAGTTTGTTTACTTTTCCAGGAGCAGTGTGTTGTTGTTTACTTTTCCAGGAGAAGTGTGGTGGTGGAGTTAGTGCCCTCAAATAAATTCTGACTCATAGAGAACCTATGCACAATAGTTCTGAACCCTGCCTTATCATGAGCCAATCTCACTATCTCCACCACACCTACTTCCATTACCCCGGTTACTGTGCCGATTCTTCTCAGCTGGGGTCTTCTTCTCCATTCTTCCAAACATGTCCTTCTCTAACGATTGGTCCTTCTGGGCAGCATGCCCAAAATATGTCAGATGGAACTGCAAAAGAGTTCTACACCAGATGCTCTGCTGGAGAAGGAGGGGTAATCTCCTCCTGTACCAGTCAGATCCAATTTGATGGACTATTTGTGAAAGAGGTTGTCTCTTCCCCCACTTACTGGATTTTATCTCTGTCAATCATCATCTGTTGAATGGATTTATTTTTGAGTTTTCCATTATGTCATTATGGGTCTGTGTATCTACTGCTGTACCAATACTACACTGTTTTGATTACCATGACTGTGTAGTAAGTTTTGAGATCAGGGAAGGGTCACTCCTTGTACTTTGCCTTTTTTCATTATTGCTTTGTTCATCGGGGATTTCTCCCTTCCATATAAATTTAGTGACTACTTTTTCTATCTCTTTTTTAAAAATTACAGTATCGATATTGAGTTGACATTCTATCTGGATTGCTTTTGGTAGTAATGCCATTTTCACAATGTTAAGTCATGAGGACAGTGTATTTTCCCTCCAGTTGTGAAGGTTTCTTTGGGTCTTTTGTAATAATGTAGTATTTCTTTGTCTAGATTTCATTTGTATCTGACTAGATTTAGTCTTTTTTTTTTCAACTCTAAGTTTATTTTCAAACTTCAAGGATTATTTATTTTATTTTATTTTTTATTATGTTTTGTGCGTACCATCAAATCTGATCTGACTGGTATCGGAGGAGCACCTGGTGGATTCGAACTGCTTGCTTCCGGGATTGCAGTGCAGCTTTTTGCCACTTGGCCATCA